CGATAATTTTTACGTCATCGGCAAACAGGAAGGACGGTTGTACTATCCTCTTGGTCAGATCATCTATGTAGACGAGGAATAGAAGAGGTCCTAGCACGGACCCTTGGGGCACACCACTACAGGCTGCCCCCTGGTGGACATTTCACCCTCTACCCTGACAGAAGGACCGGCCAAGTAGGTACCCCGTAATCCATCTGACAACTTGTTCAGACAGACGGAAGGTCTTTAGTTTTTCGATCAACAGTCGGTGGATGACCGAGTCGAATGCCTTTTGGAAGTATGAGTAACAGACTTCCACACGCTCCCCCCGATCAAGCCTTTGGGTGATCTCGTCCATGAAGTCCAGCANGCAAGTTTGATAGGCAGGACCTCTTCTGCACAAAACCGTGCTGGTTGGGAGATATCAAACCCTGGCTTAGAACGTGCTCTGCTATGCTATCCCTGAGGATACTTTCCATAATCTTCAGTGGAATAGGCAGCAAACTGACCGGCCTATAATTTCCTACCGAGTCCCTGGGCCCTCCCTTGTGGATAGGCACCACCTCTGCTATTTTCCAATCTGCTGAAAGTTGACCGTAACAAAGGAATAGGTTAAACAGGTGTTCTAGTGGATTGGCAAGGACTGTTGCCAGGGGTTTCAGTATGACTGGGTGGATACCATTTGATCCTGCCGATTTGCCTGTATTTAGGCGCCTCGGGTGATCCTAAATCTCCTGGGGGAGAATTTCGCAGTCTGGCATATGTGGGATGGACCTCGGAGTTTGTTGGCCCCCGGGTGCCCCGATGTCCCTAACGTGAACTGCTTCAAAGAAGCGTCTGGAGAGTTCGGCTTTCTCAGAGCTGGCTAGGACTGGGTGGTTGCTCTCATCCTTAAGAGCACCTATAGCCGTACGCAGCTTGGAGTTAGCTTGTAGTTGAAGAATGCCTTGGGGCATTCTTTAATTCTCCGCGCCAGTCCCGTTTCGAAGGCCCTTCGGCTAACCGTCTGGGCATTGATCGCCCTGTCTCTCTCCCTGAGGTACTGGAGATACCTTTGGTGGCTACGGGTCCTGAGGTACTGGCTCCAAGCTTGACGCTTTCGGGCTTGTACCTTTGCCACCCTGCTGGACCACCAGGGGAGTTTGCCGTTTCTGCAGATCCTCAGCGGAGCAAACTCCGAAGTGAGCAATAATAGGTTGGACTTAATGGTGGTCCAAAGCCCTTCTATAGTGTTGAGCTGCTACCCCCAGTGTGGCTCAGAGGCTCTTTCAATGAGGGAGTTACTGTTTATTCTGTGGAAGGCTTTCCTCCATTTTATGTAAGGATTTGGGCCGTTTTCCTGTAAACAGAAACGCAATACTACATGGTCACTCCTACCCAGTGGTGGGGAGGTTCTCAAGTCGGTCACGTCATTGGGATATTTACTCCGGACTAGGTCCAATAACCCAGGGTTTTATCCGCTGCATGGGGTGGTTGACGTTTTGGACTAGTGCGCAATCAAGAAAAAAAATTAGTAGTAAGTGGCCAAAACTGTTTGGTGGTGCCTACGTGGAATTCCAGTCGACTTCTTGGACATTAAAGTCCCCTGGTTGACCCGTGGCTAAGCTGTCTGAGGTCTGTCTGTCTGTCTGATAGTAGTTGCTTATCCTCCACCTGGGATGCTGAAGGACTGCGATAAACACAGCCTACCGCCAGTTGCTTTATGGGGAGGTGGATCGCACAGGCTGCTACCTGGATGTTAGGTGTGTTTAAGGGAGCGACTGTTTCAGTTTGGTGCTGCTCGTTGGTCATGAGCAGTGCTCCTCCTCCTATGAGATTGTCTTCCCTATCGGTTCTGAAGACAGTGAAACCTTTTGGTTTTAACGACTCGATGTCTTCATTCGGTCGAAACCAGGTTTCGTTTATCGCTATGCCGTCGGAGTGGATGCACTCCGAGGTTAATTCACCCCATTTGTTCCCCAGGCTGCAGGCATTTGTGCTGAAAACCCGCAGGTCTGACCTGTGACTAATGATGGGAACTTGAGGGTAGTACTCGGGCTCTAGTCCCGAGTTCGCCCTGCGTTTTTTGCAACGGAGGGTTTACGGGGTATGCCAGGCGATTCTAGCCTGGGCTTGCGTTTTAGGTTGGGTGGCTGCGCGTTGGCTGGGGCCGACTAGTAGGAGGTACAACCGCAGTGAGTGTTTCTTTTGTCACCTTTGCTACCACCTTAGG